CAAATTGTACAGATTAATTTGAATTACAAATAAAATATGTATTTAGTAAAAAACGAGAGTGGAGCTCAGGCGCGAGCTGCTGACGACGAATAATAAGGAAGCGGAACGTTGCATTGTGGGAGTTGTCGTCAACGTGCTTTAGAGCGCCGCTTTGATCCGGGAGATTCTCCTGGCGCGAGGACTACAAGTCCCGGTGCGCGCCTGAAGCGTCCGTTGACGGTGCACGGTTGGATTTGTTTTGGTTTGTGCAGACTGCGTCTTGTCACGGGGAGCCAAGGTCCGCCACGGAGCTCTCACCTGACCGCCACACACCTCCGAGCCGCCGCCGGGGCCTCCGACAACAACTCCTCCTCCCAGCTCCGTGCTCCTCCGCCCTCTCGGATCCAGGACCGTCGCGCAGCAACGTTATCGGACCTCAGAGGCTGGCCCGCTAGTTAGCAAACAAGCTATCGTTCGTTTGCCAGAGTCCACCCATGTCCTCTGAGGAAGGATTGAGCTCCTCTATCGCGGACTGGCTCTTCGTCAACTCCTGGTGGCTCCTCCTGCCGTTCGTCATGCTTCTTGTGGTCGCTGCCTTCATCGTCGCCTTCGTGTTGCTGTTGTACATGATATCTCCTCTTATTAGCCCCAAACCTCTGAAACTGAACGGGGCCCACGTCGTGGTAAGTGCCCCGGGGCGCTAACGTTTCTTCGCTGGTTACAGGCGGCTAACGTCCACTCAGTCCTGGAGCTATGTAGCTAGCTTCAGTTCTGTTAGAAGTAACAACAACGTCAATAACTAGTCGTAACTGTAAAGATAATAAATGATCGTGTGTCATTTATAAGGAGTGACATGACTTCTTATGAGTCAAGTTACCTTAGAGAACAGTTCATAATATACACTCAGATAAAACTGTTGAGAGGTTTTAATTGAACTGAGTTCATTTTCAGCTTCATTGTAACCTTGCTGAGACCAGATTATATATCAGAAACACCCTCAGTATAATTAGCTGCATCACTACAAACTACTGCCATTACATTCACCTAAAATCCCAAACCTCTCTATATAAGAATATGAGTCTAAAGTTTTTATTGGATTGTTTTATCAGACTACATTAGTTTTCGTTGAGTTCATCCACCTGTTATCTGTGTGCAGCTATCAGAGATGTTCTGATACCATTTTCACTTCCCAGTACCCATTATGTTGTATTTAGCGTCATCCCTCTGACACTGAAGTTTTCCATAGGGTGCACGTCTCTGTTTTACTCATGGGGCTAACACTACTCTCCCAAAAATCACTTCCCCAAAAGAGCTGCAGATCAGCTACCTTTTATTTGACCTTTTGACGAATGAACCGCTTAACCTTTGTATTACCAGGTGACAGGAGGCTCGAGTGGGATTGGGAAATCCATTGCAATCGAGTGCTACAGGCAAGGAGCATTCATCACTTTGGTGGCACGAGACGAGGTCAGCACACACCACAGTCAAACAATCATCCTGCTGTGCCTAGACTAGCTAGAAGTTTTTGTTTGTTGTCATAGTCAGCTTGTGAAACTAATTCAGATGAATTTGCTCTGTATCAGGCCATGGATGTGCTCCACTCACATGTTAAATGTGCTTTGTTTTCCAGTAGACTATTTGCCTTCATATGAGCATTCCTGTTCAGAAGATCTGCCATGTTTACATTTGGTCATTAAAGCTTGGTGATATTTTAAGTGCTTAAACAAGTACAACATGCTTTTTTTTTTTCTTCAGGCTAAACTCCTTCAAGCAAAAAAAGAGGTGGAGAAATTTGCCATCAATGACAAGCAGGTATGGATTAAGTATTAATTCCAATGGAAAATGCTAATCCTTCGTAGATGGAGTATCACATACAATTTCTGTATTCAGGTTGTGCTCTGCACATCAGTGGATGTCTCCAGTGATTATAGCCAGGTGGAAAGCGTTTTAAAACAGGTACTGTTACCTTTTCCATCTCAGACTCCTTTAATAATTCAGTGCTGAATTACTAAAGTGGTGTTTTCTTATCATCCAGGCACAAGAGAAGCTGGGGCCTGTTGATATGCTTGTGAACTGTGCTGGCACATCCGTCTCTGGAAAGTTTGAGGAAGTGGAAGTGGACCGTTTTAAGGTAAGTACCTGCGAGTGAAACCAAGACTGTTTTGAGACGGGTCATAAGTCAGTAAGCTGGTAACAATATTAAAGCAGTGTTAATGTCATATTCGGTTAAATATGCACTCCTCGTATTTACTCTAGTGTCGTAAAAAAGGAGACAGTTTTATATGAGATTTGAAGCAAAGTAGATTTCATTTATTTATATTTCCTACAATAGGAACTTTAAAGCTTTTTTGGAATTTACACAAATGTTATAAAACTAAATGACTTGTGTCCAAGTTACAAAAACAATTCTTGCACAATACTGATATTTGTCTAACTTTAAAAAAATAAGTTATATGCATTAAATACTTAGCAGGAAAAGGCTTTAATTTCTATTTTATTTTGTAGGATGGTTTTGTTGCAGTCAGAGATTCAGGAATTGCATAATGTAGTCCACTGTATCTTTAAGTTGTGAAACATCTGCAGCTGCATTTATGCAACACATGGATGGACTATCCTATTCTATGTGAACCTTGGCCACATTTCCAACAGAAACTGATGGAGGTGAACTACCTAGGTAGCGTTTACCCAACACGGGCCGTCATAACAACCATGAAGGAGAGAAGAATGGGCCGCATCATGTTTGTGTCCTCCCAGGCGGGCCAGATCGGCCTGTTCGGATACACTGCCTACTCCCCCTCCAAGTTTGCCCTGCGTGGCTTAGCTGAGTCGCTGCAGATGGAGGTGAGTGTTGCCTTCTCGTAAGTGAACACCACTTGCATGGGTTTCCACTGCACACCAAGAAAAGACATTGCACCCATTTAAAATTGTTTATCATGTATATGATATATTTTACTGTGCTTTTAAATTTTCACAAAGCCATTTTATCTTAAAAAAAGGTGATTAATGCTGCTGTTCTCCAGATAAAGCCGTACAATATCTATGTGACTGTGGCCTTCCCCCCTGACACTGACACTCCGGGATATGCTGAGGAAAATAAGACAAAGGTAAACTTAATAACAATTAACAATAACATAATTTGATATTAATTTCCCACCCATCTAACACAATTTCCTCCTCTATTGTTTTCCCTCCCAGCCTCTAGAAACTAAATTAATCTCTGAAACAGCAGGAGTGTGTCAACCAGACCAGGTGGCCAAAATCATTGTTCGCGATGCAGTTGTAAGCCACAACCACGCTTCTACAGTTATACAGTCAAAACAACTACTTACTGGGGAAACATGGATACTGTGGTGTTAACATATCTCCCTTTTTTCTTTGCTTTTGCAGCAGGGGAACTTCAACAGCTCCGTGGGACCCGACGGTTACATGCTATCAGCCCTCACCTGTGGAATGTCACCCGTCACCTCCATCACAGAAGGTCTTCAACAGGTACGGGCACATTTAGGAAACCGGTCAATGTGTAGCTCCTCCAGGCTGCCATTAATATTGTGAGATTTACAGTTTCTGACCTGTTTGTCTTCTGTACAGATTGTTACCATGGGATTATTTCGGACCATCGCCCTCTTCTACTTGGGGAGCTTCGACAGCATCGTGCGCCGCTGCATGATTCAGAGAGAGCAGTTAAAAGCAGCTGACAAGAGGGAGTAACAGCAGCCATACCTGCTTCACAGCTCATTGCTCCTCTTCTTCCTCCTCCTCTTCCTCTACACCCCCCATCCCTTCATCCAGCTGTTCAAGTGCCCAACCGTAGGTGGGAAATAGGCCAAGCATTTCTGAAAACATAACAGACAAGATGAAAGAAAATGGCAGATGTTTACTCTCTGCTTGTCCTCCATTGACTTCACGGCCATTTTTTTCTATCCTTTCAGAGCATTCCAGTGACTTTTCAGTTTAATGTGTCAGCCTGCTTTTTTTTGTCGGAGCAGCCGTACTTTGTGGGGGGGTGAGGGCAGACTAAACATCCCACAGCCTGGTTTTAAAATACAAATGGGTTTTGTGAGCAACTGTCATTTTACACATCAGGCCTCCCTGCCTCTACTCGCACAGTGTTTATATTTCCCCTCGCAGAGAGGAAAAAACTGCAGATAGCTTGTCTGACCAGTTGTGCCAAATATGGCTTGAAATTCCTTCCCACCGTGGGGCTATAGTAAAAAACCGAATGGTTGCTCTCACCTTTTTGCCATATAGTTGCATGTATTACAAACTGGGCCCAACCCGTAAGAATTGTACTATCTTCAATGAAACAGTTCCTCAATCACAACCTTTGTTGTACCACAAGTCTTTGCAGGCAAAGCACTTTCCCTCTTCAACCAGCGACCGTTGCTGTGGGGTGTTTTTGTGCTCTGCATCTGAACCAAACAAAGATGTGATGACAACAGTACACTTCAGAGAAAGTGAGCAAGAGAGAAAGTGAAAGCATTTGTTGTGTTTGATTGTTTTTAAATATTACTAATGCAAGAACATAATTCCCATTTTAGACGAGGTGTTGGGGCAGAATTCTGGGTAATTTTTTTTGTGTGCGTGTTTGTGTGTTCATGTTTGCTGTGACTGAGCCAACCCCTAGGGAGCGAAAAGCCATTCGATTTTAATGTCTCTGGATTAAATGCACCAAATTATTTGCTGGTCCTCCCATCTTATTTCATTGAGAAAGGAGAGCAGGTACTAGTTGTTGAAGCCATGACGTTAAAAATGGGGGGAAGACATCAGCTCAGGTGATTTAAATTTTCATCTGTGCGTTTGATAGAATTCAGCCCACCTTTTTTTCTTCTTTAATGTGTAAAAGAAAGCGTATCATTTTACATGCAGTCTGGTGTGTCTGTGCACATATTCAGCCGCCACAGTCAAAGATCCGAGTGGGATCCATAAACTGTCGGGTGGTGTAAGTCAGGGCAGGGCACTGAGGGCATGACTCGCTGGTTTGAGTCATGTCCCTTTGAGTCTATTGAGGGCGATAGAGATTTGTTTTACATGAAGGTCAAAATAGTAAAGGGACTAGCATGAAAAGTGTTATCCTCGTCCTTCTGATTTTTGACCTTCCGTCACTGTCATGCACAGTTGGGAATTTGTAACTCCCTGAATAACAATATCGATTCCCTCCTGGTTTCTGTCAAACCTTTGGAAAAATCATGTACTTATCACACGACCTTCTTACTATTTTGAAGTAGAGCGTCAACTCTTGCAAGTCTCAATTTGGTCCATCACAAACAGGGAGAATGTACTTTAATACAAACAATACAAATCAGGTTAGGAATATTATTTTTAAATGCACCACTATCTGAATGCCAAAATGTGTTAAGACAATTTTTGTAGATGCAATGCATTTATTTGAGATTTATTTCCATGTTGCTGCTCTGTTGATCTAAGAGTTAGTTTGTGAAAGACGTGGAGCAGTGTGGGGACCCATTCTAAGCCTTAAAGACGTGACTACTGATGAAGCTAAAGCTATAAGGATGGACCTGTCCACAGAACAATGTGGCTTAACCCACATGTGGTGTACCAGTTCATTTAATGACTTTTCAGTTTTTTTTGTGAATATTTTTGTCAACTTCCAGTCTTTGTACGACAAAAAGAAGCCTTGGTGAAATCCAAGATATGAAAGTGAGAATGGATGACCCATGTTTGATGATGTTCTCATTTGACATTGGTTTAAAGGCATACTGTCCTGCACTCAAGAGGTTTTCATAATCTTACATTTATTTTCTTTCAGAAGTTCTCTTTTTCCTTGAGGTAGCAGCACATAGTTGATGGAACATGTAGCCCACGTAAAAGCAGTTTTGTTTAACACCTTTTTAAGCTATGCAAATGAAGCTTATGCTTACGAAATGTTAAAACATTTAGTCCAGATTTCAGTTCTCTAACAGCCTCTCTGTTGTCTCAGTGTCATCATTAGATCATTACTGAGTATTGAACATGAAAGTCATGATGCACTCTTGTTTCATTCTTCTTTCTTACATTTTTTTTTGTTTCTGCCAAAAAAATACCTAACACCTTCACCTTGTGTGCCATTGAAAGAAAATGTGAGAAGTGAACGTGTCTCTGTCTTATTTTCTTACATGATAAACAAAATAAATACCTGTGAAAAAACCCAAAATCTAATTCCTATGTTTTCATCCATGGTTTCGGGTTTGAAATTGATAAATGACAAGAGAGACATCTTCTTAAATTGCATCCAAGCCGTTTGATGCAGCTTCGCTTTAGCTGATTTCAAGTTGAGAACATTTCTGCTGAAAGTCTCAGTTCATTGCGAGTGAGTTGTGTCTTTCAGAAGTTTGATTTAGGGGCTGTTCGTGGGAGTGTTGTGGGAATTTAAGTATTCTGTTTGATGTGATGAGATTTTAATCTTCCATGAAGGGACTTTCCAGAGCCGCAGCAACCCTCTCTTAAATTTGCAGCATGCAGGATTTTTTGATGCTTTGTTTGTCCCATTTGAGAATAAGAAGTAGACATGTGGTATAAAAAAATGGTAAAGGACACTAGAAAGGGCATCAAAGGACGGAGGGAAATCGTATACAGGTACATCAGTTTTGTGCTGCAACACTGGATCCCCTTCCACAAGGGGGTGGCTGGACCACATCAAAGCAGCCCTTCATCAGAACGGGATGGTCCTGTGCTGCTCATGAATCAACCAATATCTTCTAAAGAGCTTTCCTTGGTCTTGTCTGGGTGAGCAGGCGAATGAAGGCTGTCTGGGTGATGTCTTAAAAAATAAATAATATGGTTAAAACATGCATTAATAAGAATATACGCTGTTAATTGTCCTTGGTGCATTTCTTCATCGTGTACTCGGAGTCTCCGAGCTCAGCCAAAGGAATTACTTTGCGTGGCTGACGTCAGGAATACCTCACCAGCGAGAGTGGGCAGGGTGCTGCTGTAGAGGATATGAGGAGAAGCCGTGGAGGAAGAGGACTCCAGTCCGACCTTGTCTGGCTCGCGGTCCCGCGCACGGTTTGTGCGTAAAAACGCTGCTAAAACAGTTGGCGGCGTTTTTATGCCCCTTCAGGCGCGCACAACTCCGGCCTTCATTCATGTCCTTCTGGTTTTTTTATCCACTTCTGGGTAACATCCACTCGAGATCAACACTATACTCCAACCCTCTTCCGCATATTGGATTTCTATGCAAAGAGAAGGTCGCCCATGTCTCTCCAAGGAATCGGGAAATGAATGTTGCTGCTTTCACGGACTCAGTACATTTTTGACTTTTAAAACGTTTGCTGTACAGTTTTAATCAAAGGATTTTCTCAACTCTTGAAGCGTTATTCGCCTGCTGGCTGGGATTACTCGTTGCATCGCTTACATTTGAATTAACAGAACCGGATTTCGGGACAAGCTTGTGCGTAAGGAGCAGTGTACGGTCCGCACATTCGATCATAATGCATTTGATTTAGGACACCATCTGTCTACACAAAGTGCCAAAATTGAGCTGGGATGGCGAGCGAGAGCAATCGTTATATTGTAGAAAAGTATATCTGCCATAAACTCTCTAAGAGGGGCTACGAGTGGGGGTTCGATGATGTCCGGGACGAGGATGAAGCAGATAACGGGTCGATAGTTGCCCCTCCGCCGACTTTGGTGCGCCGGTGCCGAGAAGCCAGCACCGGGCCCGACAACGAGAGCATCCCCAGCTTGTGCAGACGGCTCCCGCAGTCCGAGCCACACGATGCCATCCACAGGGTCCTGCGAGAGGCTGGGGACGAACTTGAGAGACTGTACCAGCCGGACTTCACGGAGATGTCGCGGCAGCTGTACCTCACTTCCAACACGGCGCAGAGTCGGTTCGCCGAGGTGATAGACGAGCTGTTCCGGGACGGGGTGAACTGGGGCCGGATTATCGCCTTCTTCGAGTTCGGGGGCACGGTGTGCGTAGAGTGCGCGGCCCGGGAGGAGATGACATCGCAGGTGGAGAACATCGCGGAGTGGATGACAGAGTATTTGAATGGACCTCTAAACATCTGGATTAAAGACAACGGGGGATGGGTAGGTGTGATTCCCGTGTAGCTGCAGTTCTGGTGCCACGGTGGCGCAAAAGTGCTCCTTCGCTCTTTTTGCTTTTAATCAGTGAATTTTAGCTGCGTACATGTGTTTGTGTGAGATCAACATGCGCTTGCTGTTTGGGTTAAATGTCACAAAACATTAAAACCACGTCCGATAGTGATCATTAATAAAACCCAGCTCTAGATGTGTCCATTACGCACGACAAGCGCTAGGGAGCGATCGAGATTGACGGCCTCACTCAGACGGCTGCTCCGATTGGACCTTTGTGTGGCTGTTTAAGTCGTTTGACCAATCAGGAAGCATGCTGTGTCACACCTCCCGACGCTGTATCAGGAAAGCCCGCCTTGTCAAGTGGATCGCCAGCAGCAGCCACGCAGACGTCAGACAGAGTGCAGGGTAAAGATCCAGGAGATAATCGAGTTCACAAAATCAGTATTTTCACCGTAGAAAAGGCACGGCACGGCTGCTTCATTCATTTTCATCCTCTGAGGCCTCGTGCTGAGGAGCTCTGGTGCAGCAGTGTGGATGTGACGCAATGAGTCATAATCCCAGCAGAAGGGAGGAGGCCAGACACATGTCAGCAAAGAGAAAACTATTGAATTAATGTGCTCAGGCCTCTGGGCATGGCCGGTTGGGTTGAGCTGACACATGAGCTTCAGGTACGAACGAGGGCAGGCATCTAGAACACACTTCCTGCACAGATGCACAGAGAGAAATTCATTTCTGTTTCACAATTCTCCTGCAGCCTCCTCGTCTGTCTTCTGTGCTCCAGCTATTAATCCAATCTGCCATGAATTAGCCTTTAATTAGCAGCGGTGCCCTTAATGAGAGCATAACATTTGTGCTGCTTGGTTATTTTAGCTGGAAGGTATCAGATTTGGAGATGTGGGGATGTGGGGGGGCGGTCATCAATGATTCATATTGAACATATCTTCTCAAAGGGAAGGACCGTTTAACATTCCCCTTGAGTGTGCCTTGCCCCTGGAGGTGGCAGGTTGTGGCACATATCAAAGGCAGCCACAGAGGGGGGGGGCCTCCAGGCCTCCAGGAACACAGGGTGCTCATCCCCACAGCCGCATGTGTTTAACATGCACTCCTCTGTGCATTCAGGTTGGAACTCTTTTGTCTGCTTTCTTTTTTCCAGACCTGTGCCTTGAAGCTGGCACAGGCCGGCCTGCTCCATGTCTCTGGAGCCTGTGCCCGCTGCACGATAATGTAGGTCATCATCATCGTCTGTGTTTTCCATCCGGGTGGAGAGGGTTGTATCTCTGCTGCTCTGCATCCGCTGGAGAGTGAAAGCACAGTCTTTTTTTAATCCAAAGGATTATTTAGGATTATTTGGAAGCATATGTCTCCAGTTTGGGTCACTTTGGTGGATTTCTGCTCTCAACAGATCAAAAACCACATCCAAGTGAAGTGGGCTCAAACAAGGCTCTAAAACAATTTAATTCAGTGCACTCTAATCACCCTAAATGTTTTAGAGCTTCAGCATCAGACACTGGTGTTGATTTAGATGATCATTTGAATGCCATCATCATAGTGGGGAATTTCCTAACGTGTGTGTTTTTGTTGTTACCTGACCTTTAACCGACACTGCAGGCACACAGTTTCGTCTGCACTCTGG